TTCATGACTTGTTTGAGACGCTTGGTGACATATTAGACACCTTTTCTGACTTGCTTGAGATCCCTCCCAACTTATTTGTGACCTTTCATGATATGTTTGAGACCGTTCCTGACACGTTCGCTACTCTTCGTGATGTGTTTGAGACATTTCCTGAACTTGAGGCTGTTTTTGATGTTTTTAAGATTTTCCTTATGTCTTTGAGACTATTCCTGATGGATTTGAGAAACTTACCTATTTTACACACTTCCTCATGTTTGAGACCCTTTATGACTTGTGTGCGAGACTCTTCCTTATGTACATGAGACCTTTTCTGACTTGTTTGAGGCCCTTCCTGACTTTTCTGAGACCCTTCCTGACATGTTTGAGACTCTCTCAGGTGTATCTGAGACCCTTCCATCTTCTTGAGACACCTTACAGAGTTATTTACGCCTTGTCCTTACTACTTTGAGAACCTTCCTGACTTGTTTAAGATGCTTCCTGATGTGTTTTGAGAACCTTCCTGTATGTTCTAGACAGTTCCTGAGAAGTTTGAAACACTTAATTCTCACGACACTTCCTGTCAAATACTCATTCTGACTTATCTGAGAACCTTTCTGATGTATTTAGTACATATTTTAGACTCTTCCTGACATGTTTGAGAACCTTCATGACTTGTATGAGATGGTTCCTGATGTACTTTAGACCCTTCATTGCTCTTTTAAAAACTTTCTGAGAAGTTTGGGACACTTTTTCTTATGTTTGTGCCTCTCTCTGACATATTTGAAATCCTTCCTGTTGTATTTAAATGTCTTCTTGACATGGTTGCACCTTTCATGACTTGGAGACTCTGAGAGAAAATCTGTTCCATGCCTCTCTTCCTGGAATATTAGATATCTTGTCTGACTTGTTTGAGAACCTTTCCTGGCATGTTTGAGACCTACCTGGAGATATTTGTGTCTCTTTCTGTCTGAGACATTTACTGACATACTTAAAGCTCTTGCTGACTACTTTGAGCCCTTCTGGACTTGTCTGAGAGGATTGCTGATGTAATTGAGATCCTTCCTCTCCCTTCTAGATAGTTCCTGATAAGATTCAGAGTCTTCCTAAGTGTTTAAAGCTCCTCCTGGCGTGTTTGAGATCCTTTTTGTCATATTTGAGAAACTTATGATATAGTTAAGACTCTTCTGGACATGTGTGAGAATCTTCATGACTTCTTTGAGACGTTGTGACATATTAGAGATCTTTTCTGACTTGCTTGAGATGCTTCCCAACTCATTTGAGTCACTTACTAAAATGGTTAAAGACTCTTCCGGATTTATTTGAGACCATTACTGACCCTTACTGACAAATTTAATGTTCTTCCTAACTACTTTGAGATCCTTCCATTCTGATTTGAGAGGATTTATAATGTATTTCAGATGCTTCCTCTCTCTTGGTAACATTTCCTGTCACGTTTGAGACACATCCTGTCATGTATAAGAACCTTCCTGATGTATTGAAATCCCTTTCTGACATGTTTTAGCACATCTGACTTGCTTGAGATTCTTCCCTCATTTACTTGAAACCTTTCCTGACAAGTTAGAGACCCTTCTGGAGTTATTTAGGCCTCTTTCTCTCTTTTTGAGCCCTTTATTTTACATACTTAATGCTTTTCCTGACTACTTTGAGGCCTTCTAGAACTTGTGTGAGAAAATGCCTGATGCATGTGAGACCCTTCCTCTCTGTTTGTAAGACTTCATGCTGTTTGCCACTCTTCCTGATGTATTTGAGATTCTTCCTGATTTATTTGAGACTCTTCCTGACGGTTTGAGATCATTCCCGACATGTTGACCCTCTGGATTGTATCAGAGACACTCCATTTCTGTTTGAGACTCTTACTGACTTATTTGTAACTCTTCCTTACTACTTTGAGAACCTTCCAGTCCGGTTTGAGAGAATTTATACTGTGTTATAGATCCTTCCTCTCTCTTTGTGACACTTCCTGTAATGTTTGAAACACATCCTGACATGACGAGTCTCTTCCTGCTGTATCTGAGACTCTTTCTGGCTGTTTAAGACTCTTCCTGATGATGTTGACGCTCTCCCTGAAGGGTATTTGAAACCCTTTCTGACTTGCCTGAGATTTTTCTGGACTTGTCTGAGACCCCTTTCGACACGTTTGAGACCTGTACTTATTTGTTTGCTAATCTTCCTGACAAGCTTGAGCCTTTTTGATGTATTCATGACCTTTCCCGACTATCTGAGACTGTTGCTGTCAGTTTGAGACACTTGCTGACCTATTCCAAACTCTTCCTGACTATTTGAACTGTTCCTTACTTGCTTGGGATTCTTCGTGATGGATCTGAGACATCTGCTCTCTATTCGTGATTCTTTCTGATGTGTTTGAAACTCTTCTTGACATTTTGGAGACTCCTCTTAATGTGTTTGAGACTTCCTAATTTTGAATCATTAGAGACGTATTTTAAACTCTGCCTAATGAATTTAGGACCCTTCCTTACCAGTTTCATACCCTTCCTGACTTGTTTGCGTCTCCTACTGTGTATTAGATACTCCACCAGACTATTTGAGACGCTTCCTGTCTGGGTAAGACAACTCCTGACAGATGTGAGGCTCTTCTGGATTTACTTGCTACTTTCCCAACTATTTGAGACCCTTTCTGATATTTTTTGAGACCCAGGTTTGTGACCTTTCCTGATTATTTGATACTCTTCCTTTAAGTTTGAGGCCTGTTTGTGATATATTTAAGATGTTCACTTTAGTTTACATCCCTTACTGACATATTTTGAAATCCTCCTGACTACACTGAGACCATTACTGACTTGTTTGACGCTATTTATGATGTATTTGAGATACTTCCTCTCTTTTTGAGTGTGTTTGTAACATGTTCAAAATACTTCCTGATGTATTTGAATCCTTCCTGGGTGATAGACACCCTTCTTGTTTTATATATGACCCTTCCTAAGGTAATCAAAAGTCTTCTTTACCACATGACCTAACAATTCCACTCCTAGTTATATACCCCAGATATTTGAAAACTTATGTTAACACAACAACTTACATACAAATGTTCATAGCAGCATTATTCACAGCCAAAAAGTGTAAATAACCCAAATGTCCATCAAGTGAAGAATGCACAAATAAAATGCAGTATATCCATGCAATGAGTATATTTTATTCAGCCATTGTGTTAGTCCGTTTCTGTTGCTTATAACAAAATACAAGGAACTGAGTATTGTATAAAGAAAACGAAATTGACTTCTTACGGTTTCAGAGGCTAGGAAGTCCAAAGTCCAGGGAACACACCTGGTGAGGGTCTTGGTGGTGACGACAGTGACACAAGGGTATCACACTGTGAAACGGCAGAGCAGAGAGAGAGCAAGAGAAAGACAGACTCTCCTCTTCTTTTAAAGCCCTCAGAAGCACGGCCCTGATCGCCATTATTAATCCATTCACTATGACACGGTCCTGCAAGCTAATCACCTCTTCAAGGTCCCACCTTTTTTTTTTTTTTTTAAAAGATGACCGGTAAGGGGATCTCAACCCTTGGCTTGGTGTTGTCAGCACCACGCTCAGCCAGTGAGCAAACCGGCCATCCCTATATGGGATCCGAACCCGCGGCCTTGGTGTTATCAGCACCGCACTCTACCGAGTGAGCCACGGGCCGGCCCAAGGTCCCACCTTTTAATTACCGTCATAGGATTTCTCACCCTCTTAACAGTCACAGTGGGCGCCAAGTTTCTAATACATAAAACTTGGGGGACACAATTCAAGCTTCAGTGAGTTTGGAGGGGGACATAATTCGATCCACTACAGCCATAGAAAAGAATGAACTACTGATACATGGTACAACATGGATGGATCTTGAAAACATAATACTAAAGGAAAGGAGCCAGACAATAAAAGGCCACACGTTATAGGATTCCATTTATATGAAATGTCCAGAATAGGCAATTCCATAGAGACAAAAGGTTAGTTAGTTGTTGTCACTGGCAGGGGGCAGGGAGGAATGAGGGGTGACTGCTGGTGGGAATGGGCTTCGTCCATAGGGTGATAAAAATATTCTGGAATTCCATGGCGGCGACGGTGCACAACCTTGTGTATGTTCAGGAAACCACTAAATTTAAACTGGTAAATATCACTATCTGAGTGAATCGTACATCAATAAAAAATGCTATTACCAAATTTAAAAAAAAAACTCTCCCTGATGACTTTCAACTTTGAAATACTTCCTGACATATTTACAACCTGTCCTGGCGTTTCAAGACCTTTAAGAACATGTTTGAAGCGGCGAGAGCGGGAGCGGGAGCCAGCGTCCAGGCCGGCGGAGCGACACGGGCGTGCTGGCGGGGGCGACGGGGCGCTAGAGCCGGGGCGGGCTGGCCGAGGGCCGGGTTGGAGGCCGGGGAGCGGGTGACGCGCGGGCTGAGGGCTC